TTTTAGGAGGATTTTGGGGGGGCTCACATGGACAGGCATGTTGAAGTAGTCGGCCTTGAAGGCGTCGGCCATCTCCCCGAAGCTCTGCAGCGTGTACTCCCTCGTAGCCTGCTCAAAGCCAAACGCCTCCGGGGGCCGCTTGCACTCCTGGGGGACACCGGTGAGTCAGGGGGGCACCCCAGAGACACAGACGGGGGGCACAGGGGACACCTCACACAAAATTGGGGGTCCTGAAGGACTGGGAGGGTTGGAATGCTGAGCTGGGGGTCTCCAGCCCCACAGATGGGATGAGATGTGAAAGAAGGGATGGGTGTGGGGACTCCCAGCCCGTAAGGTTTAACATGGGGGTCCCTGACCCCACAGATGAGGGAGTTCCTAAGCCCCCCAGCCCTTCAGACATGACTAGATAAGATTTGGGAGCCCCCATCCCTCAAATCACAAAGCCCCAGCTCCCTTGGAACAGGATAGGACCAGACACCAAGCGACACAAGGGGTCAGGACACCCTGAGAGTCCCAGAGGGTGTCCCCACATCCCCACCCATGCCCCTTGGGCCCCCTCTCACCGCCATGACGCATTTGGGGCAGCGCCAGATGCCCTTGGGGATCTCGGGCAGGGGGGGCAGCAGGCAGAAGATGTGATAATTGTCATCACAGCCATCGCACAGCAGCAGCTTGTCATCCTCGTCACCCCTCGAGCAGATCCGGCAGATGTAGGAATCCACCTGGGCATGGAAAAGGGAGAATTTGGGGTGGGGGTCCCACTCCGACACGGCCCCGCCCCACTCTGGGAGACCCCTACTCACGAACTGGCTGTTGCTGTGGCTTCGGCGCAGCCTCATGGTCATTTTGGTGCAGGGCTCAGGGCTGTGGCGCAGCTCCTCGCGGCCGTCCCGAGCCCCAGGTGACACCGGTGACCCCCGGGGCTCCCCTGCGGGGGGCTCCTCCTTCACCACCACCGTGGGGGGACACTCAGGGCCGTCCTTGTCTGTGGGGAGGGGGGAATTGGGGGTTACTGGGTCATTCAAGGTTATTAAACAACTTTATGAATATTAAACGTTTTTGGTGTTACTGAACATTTTGGGGTGTTGTAAAGCATTGGGGGATTCATGAGGAATTGGGGGTCACTAGGTGATAGAAGGGTTACTGAACAATTTTGGGGGTATAGAACGTTTTTGGCGTTACTGAACAATTCGGGGTGTTGGCAAACCATTAGGGGGTCACTGAGCAATTTGGGGTCACTAAACAACGCAGCAAAGGGTCCTGAAAATAAAGGAGGGGGTCAAAGGAATGGAGGGGAGGCCCAAAAGAACTGGGGGAGAAGGCTGATAAAGAACTGGAAGGGAAGGGGTTCCCTAAAAAAACTGTGGGGGGGTGTCTGTCCCAAAAGAATGAAGGATCTGACCCCAAAAGAACAAAAGAAAAATCAAGTCCATATAGAACTGGAAAAGAAAGAAGTTCTTAAAGAATTGGGGGGGGGGGGGGGTGTGTCCCAAAAAACAGGGGATCTGACCCTAAAAAAAACAAGGAATTCTCCAAAGAGTGTAGAGAACAAAGGATCCCAAAAAAACTGGGGAGGGTGTCCTGAAAGAATGAGGAGAAAAGTTCAGGAGAGATGTCGGTCCTGAAAGAACCTAAGGAAAGAAGGGGATCCCAAAAAAACTGGGGAGAGGATCCCAAAAGAATGAGCAGGAGAAAAGTTCAGGACAGATGTCTATCCTGAGATAAGTTGGGGAAAGAAAGAGGTCCAAAAAAACCGGGGAGGGGGTTCCAAAAAAATTGTCCCAAAGAATAGGAGGGTCTGTCCCTAAACAACTGAGATCCCATAAAATCCGGGGGTGTGGGAGGATGGCCAAAGGGATGAGGAAGGGTCCTTGAAAGAACGAGGAGGGATCCTCAAAGGCTCTGGGAGTGTGTCCCAAAAAAACTGGGGGAGGAGGGGAGAGAGGGAAAGGGGGCCCTGAAAGAACCTGGGAAGTCCCAAAATAACTTCAGGAATATCCCAAAAGGATCCTAAAACAACTTTATAAAAAAAAAAAAATCCCAGAAAGATGAGGTGGATCCCAGAAGGATTCGGGGGTCCCAGCCACCCTCTGCACCCCTCAATTCCCCACCTGAGGAGGGATACCCCAATACCTTTTTTCCGCAGGGTCTTATCCTTGGCCACCAGCCCCAAACCCAACATTTTGGGCCCGGCTCCGTAAATCTGCAGTTTCTTCAGCTCGGGGTTCTTCTCAATGTCCTCCTCCGTGGGCTCGGGCTGT